GTAGTAGAGAGGAGAGAGAAGAAAGAAGAGAGAGGGGGGGGGAGGTACAGCAAGGACATTCTCAAGTCCTACAACAGGCTCGTTGTTCGCGAATACAAGAGTGGCATTTTTGCTATAGAATTTCGGGAGATCGACCGTGCTGAGACTGTCTGCTGCATGGTGGAACTTGATTGTGTTAGAAAAGGAGAGAGCGGTTGGAAAGCTGGGTTGCGGAGATCTTACTCGTTCGAGCCAGTGCTGGATTTCTTCGCGGGATCGGGATCGGATAGACATGATTTTTAGCAGATCTAGGATTGAGCTTGAGGAAATAAGAAGAGAATAATGAATGGGAGGTTGGTTGGACTTCGTAGATTTATATGTCTCTGGGTGGAAAAGTCCCCATGGGGAGAGTCACGTGGGCGGATACTTTTCGGAGACAAAGTATTGAGTGCTGAGAAATCACACTGGTGGCTTAATCCACTTAAGGGAATGAAAAGAATGATGACAAAACGGCTGATTACTGCGCCATGGATTAGATACAAGAGAGGAATTGATCTGCTTGAAGATTGTACCACTGGTGAAGATTGATCTTAGCATACTGAGAGGGGGGGGAGAAATCCAGAACCCCATACGTGATATCTGAACACAAATACTTTTGTGATAATTCAGAATGAGGAATCAGAACTCGTATCCAAGGAAATTCATATTCTGGGTCCCTTCGCAAATTCATCGATATATGCCGCCAACTTTTCCGCACCTTCCAATGAGATAGAGTTGTAGTTGCTTGCCCGGATGCCGCCCACACTTCTGTGACCTTTAAGTCCCGTAAGTCCCTTTTTGGTTGCCCCAGCCAAGAAGGCCTTTTCAGCATCCGCAATGCTGTCGCCCTATTATTCTTGTTAGAATTGGTCAGTATAGCTAGTGTGAGGACTACTTACGTGCGTCACTCGGAAGCAAATGTTCATTCTTGAGCGCACGCTCTTGTCGGGAACAACCTTATATGATTCTGGGTGTGCGTCAAGGGTGGCATAAATTAACTTCGCTTTCTTGTCCGACAAGGCTTCCTGGCCGGTGACGTTGTCAGAGAAGCTGGCGAGGGCTTTCTTAAGAACTTGTCCAGCGATGTAGACACTGATAATGTTAGAGTAGACAGAAAGAGGAGTGGATGAACCTACTCGAAGATATTCAAGGTATTATAAAGACTGTTGTTCTTCGCAATGGTCTCGTATGAGAACACAATCGGCCCAACTGGCAAACCCAATTTTCTCAATAGAGCCGGCTCTGGAGTGCTGACAGCAGGAGGCAGTAGCTTCTTCTTGATGATAACCACTGTTATACCCGCACTTCCCAGATTTTTCTGAGCCCCAAAGAATATGACTGAGAAGTTTCGGACTGGTATCCGTCGAGAAAGGATATTTGATGACATATCAGCAACCACGATGGGCCCCTCCTCTCCACTTGGCTTCAGTATTTCCGGGAAGCCAGGAAACTCAACACCATCCACGGTCTCATTATCACAGTAGTAGACCATTGCTGGGTCCTTCGAGAGCTTCCAATCCTTCTCCTCTGGTATCTTCCCAAACTTCCCATCATTAACCTTCCTGGCATCCGCCGCCACATTGACATGTTCTGGGCCTAATAGTCTAGCCGCTTCCTGGGAAGCCTTCAATGACCAAGAGCCTGTCACCAGGTAATCGATTTTTAGTTCCTCCTCCACTGCCTTCCGCAATCTCTCCAATACCTTGTCTTGGGGAACATCTGCGCCCTCTGCAGTACCCAACTCTTTTATGATCTTTTGTCTTCTTCGCTCAACCCATATGCCAACTAAGTTATAGACCGTTGCTGAGAACTGTCCACTGCCTCCACCTTGCATAAAGAGAATCTCATAATCGTCTGGGATATCGATGTACTTGGCCAGGTCCGCCTTGGCGGTGTTGATGATGTTCGTGGCGAGTTCCGACCGATGTGAATGTTCTGCCAGACCCAATCCAGTATCCTCAAAGTTAACCAATGCTTCTGCGGCAGTCTTCAAGACATCGGTCGGTAGCAGAGCTGGTCCTGCCCCAAAATAAGTGATTTCTTCCCGGGAAGGCATGATCGTCGACTTTCAGGTGTTCTGTATCCGATTGCCACCTCGCGTCCTGGATGTAGATTTAGGTTTCTGTAAAGGTGGTCGTTAGCACGGAGGATTTTATGTATATGTGCGGACTATATCTCTCGAAAGCCCAGTTGAGGATATAATTATTGTCTTGCCAACTTTTTTTGCCTCCGGTTACGGAGCGCGTAAAGGCATGCTCTTTGTGCGGATGAGAATTGAGGGATCTTGCTACTCACATCAGATGCGGCTCTTTACCCCCTATAAGTTCTGAATAGCTTCACCTCTTGGGTTTGTTTGCAAGAAGGCGGAAACGGATCTTGAATGCGGGTGAGTCAAGGTGAAAGAAAAGCAGCTCTGTACCCCGGATTTCCAAGTGGGATGTTTAGCGTCAACAACCCCTGCAATCACAGCCTTCTCCCAGTGCTGACGTCCCGAGTTCCCCCCAACCTCCATCATCAGCCTCGCATCTCGGATTGGCCCTTACTGCCGATTGATATCATTCTGATATATATAAACCAACCTCCCTTCATGAATCGGAAATGCTGAGATAGCTCCATGAAGGCGACCCGAAGAACAATTGAGGAGTGAGCGGTCGCTATGTCGGAGCGCAAGAACTCTGAGGCTGGGCCCTCCAAGACCCCCATCCCAGCTGCGTCGTTCCGTACTTCCCCATGCTCCGGACTGATGAGAAAGACTGCTGACGGGCCATAGCTACACATAACTCGCCGCGAGTGTGGTTTATTACCTCTTCCCTGTCGCCATTGGCGGTCCGGTTGATAAGGCTGCTGCTTGCACACGGCGATCATGTCGCCGCGGGCCTCCCGCCCAACGAAATCGAAGACGATGATCGAAGCGAGGAATTCAGGGAGCTGATCAATGAGTGCAAGAGTGGGAGGAAAGATAGAGAGGGATGGAAGGATAGGATACGTGGTATACGCTGCGATGGGAGGATCATGGGACAATGCGGAGCTGCTGTAGCGGAAGCGGTGGAGGTGTTTGGACGTATTGATATTCTGCTCTGCTGCACATCAGAAGGTACAGTCTCCATATACCATATTCCAGAGGCAAAGGCAAAGGCTAACTTGGGATAGCGGTCATCGGCACCGTCGAAGAGCTCTCGACCAGCCTCGCGACCCAAAACCTCGTGCGCGACCAATTCGAAATCACCTTTTTCAGCCAGGTCAACTTCATCAAAGCGACGCTCCCCCTCCTCCGTGAGAAGCACACCGGACACATCATAATCCTCACCGGGATAACAGGCCACATCGGTACCCCCGGCACGCCCATGTTTTCCGCCGCTACCTGGGCATTAGAAGGCTACTGCGATTCCCTAGCTTACGAAATCGCCCCTTTCAATATCAAGATGACTATCGTTCAACCTAATAAAGAGATCTCTGTCCTCTCAAATAAGATCACCTTTGCGCCCCAGCTGCCGCAATATGAGAGCCATAACAATCCTGCCCCAGGCCTCCGAGACATCCTGACCAACGTGGTGAACATGCACCCCGACACGCGGATCAGCGACTTCAAAGGGACGAACACCATCGTGTCCCGCTATCCGCGCCTACCGAGCGACGCGCGCGATACTCTCGTCATGGAAACCGTACACGCGCTGACGGCGATTGCGGGTCACGAGAACCCTCCCGCGAGGCATATCGTGGGATACGAGGGCGTGGCGTCGGTGAAGGAGAAGCTGAAGACGGTGAGCGAGGAACTGGAGGATTTCGTCGAGGTTAGCTGCGCGGTCGATATCTTTAAGAGTGATGTCGGGAGGGCGGCGCTGTCGGGCGTGTGGAAAGGGGAGGGGAGTAGTGTGGGGACCGCTGCTGCGGCGGAAGGGACCTCTTCGTCGTGAGCATGGTGTTTGAAATGGCCCAAAGATATATTATGATATCAAGAACCTGTAGTAATGGGGTTTAAAATACTTGATGAGAAAACCGGTTAATGCATGGGTTGGTTGAATCACGAGAAGCGTTTGAAAAAAGGGAAGATTTGGGAGCTTTTCCCTATCGTATATCTCCCTTCACTAGGCACGATCTACCTATTCACAAGTACCTCAAGCAGTAGGTAGCAAGACGCAGAACTTTCAAAGAAGAATAAAAGGCTAGGTAGTATATTGGCTACCTTACACAGTACTATCATAACTACCTAATCATGACAATACCCAGAAAAAAATCCCAATATCTAACATACTTCTTCTACAACACCCGGCCGAGCAATATCCCAAACCAAACCCGCCTCCTCCAGTTCTAGATATTGATACTAAATCATCATCCTTCCATATCTTTTGCCTTGGTCGCGAGAGAATATAAAGCTTGATCAGGTTAATATTCTAGATATGAAAGCTCAAGGATTTGATAAGTGAACTTGGTCCTGAGTACTTATTTATTAACATCTCCAAGAGGTCTATATACAACTGACCCTTAGTGGACCTGCTTCAGGGGATAGATGGACCAGATTCGTGGCTCTCATATGATGCTCGAGCATAAAGCACTCACTTCCTTGGCATGATGGGGTATATATGCCGGTACGTCCCTCTGTACGTTCCAGCTACTAATCGCTGCTATTCACTCATTAGAATATTCTCAGGGAGATCAAGTCTCGACTTTCCCAACCATTCCCGTTGTAGCCCGATATGATCGAGCTTGTTAGGTGTCCGTTTTGTGTTAAGTCTGTGGATTGATCAAGCTACCAGACGTTACTATATACATCATACATGATATAAGCAAGGGGCACATGAGAGAGCTATTCGAGGAGCTCTGTCGCAAGACGTTAGGAATAAGTGGATGATTCCATGGTTGTGATGTAATTACAAAAGGGGCGTTTGGGGAATTGAATGCTGTGAATCAATCTTGTCGTTGTGACAAATCCCTACTTTCATCTAACATGGATAACTCTTCAAATTCGCAACGGTATTACCGATTTGCAACACTTCACACCATCATTCACTGTCTTTTACTTCTGTAAAACGTGTTCCTGGCCATGGCATCATTAAGTTTGAAGGGTGTTAGTATCTTGTCTATAAACAAGATACACCGGGCAAGCCGGGAAACAATTCGAGCAAACCGAGTAGGGTCGACGAGGACGACAGCGGGCTCTATCACGGGTTTAGCCTAATACAGGCGGCCGCGATGCGTATCGGCAGATGCCAGATCCTGCGGCTTCGTAGCCCACCCGAGCCGGCTGCTGGACCATCTTCTCAGTGGGATGATAATATACAGTTTCTTCCTCGGGTATGATGATATGCATCCGCGTTCTTCTGTGTCCAGTCATCACTTATCCCTCACCCTCCTACTCGTCTACCGCCCTATATCTCACCTCCATTTATCTTCTCTACAGCGCTCTCCCCCTAATCTTCTCCCGCAAAACGAAAGTTATAGCTAAGAGGAGCGACAGAAGACCAACCACAAAAGACGCGATATTCCCCTTTGTCCACCCAAAGTTTCGAATCTGTACGCAGGGATTAACCCCATCGCCTGCCAGACCTTACGGGCAATACTCCCTAGCTCGCGCGCCGAGAACATCACATCACATTTCTCTCAGCGGTGCCGCGCGTGGGCGGTCGCGCCCAGCCTAGATGATGCTGCGATATGTCGCGAACATCCAACGTAATCCTTAGTTGTAGCGACGGCCAGGGAATGATTACCTGGACTAGTACCCAGATACAAAGCGTCGTTCTAAAGGTTGGCCATCACACATGTAAGGGCGTCCTCTAGGTCGCGCCAGACCAGCATCTCTCCCATCTGTAACGGTCGGGTCGTTAAACAAGCATGCTTCTTTGCCTCGTGCGGTAAATCTTGATCGTGATGACCTGCGTTACATGTGAATCATCGTGTTCTAACCAAATCTTTGCATCCCGGCCAGCAGCCCAGCTGCTCTCTGAGACGGCTGATTCCAATACACAAGTAGGATTATCGCCGTCTAAAGTATCTGTTTCTAGTGTGGAAGAAAAAGAGCAGAAAGCATGCATCATAGATGACCTGGATTATGTATGGCACTGTGCCGTGCATGCAGTTAGTTGTGAGCTGGGAGTGGGAGGCTGTGACAAAGAAGATCTATGTAAGAAAGGACTTGGCGAAGTCTGGCCCCCTCAGAACATCAAGGAAACAGCAAAGGATATGGATACGGCCTATGATTTTCGTCGGCGTGGGTTGCTCTCCTTCCCTTCGGAGTGCGTCCAAATCATCAAAGCTTACTTAATGAAGGGCGCTCTCTTAGCACTCGTTAAAGCTTCTTTATCGACTTTGGAAAATCTAATCGCTGTTTGACTAGTTTGATGCTTCTTCTCGGGAGGCAACTATCGTCCTCGCACTTGGGGGCTGTGCCCCGCAAGTCCCATGTCGCCATTTGATTCAAGCAACGCTTACATGCAACGGAACGCTTGGTGGACGGGGGGCTCTGGAGATGTAGGCTCTGGGCTTGCTGGTGTAGGCGTGCGAATCCAGCTAGAGTATGGATCATTTTTTCTAATGTAGTCTCAATGTTTAACCACGGGGCGGGATCCTTTGTAACTGCTGTCGATAACATCTCGAATTACCGATTTCGCTCATCTTAGAGCCATGCATAGGCAGCTCGGTCCGCTAGTCGGAGAAATCTTGACTGCTATGGTCAATAGGTCGCCGGCGATGCGAAGGGGATGCACTTACATTGTGTTGCACTTGGTTGCCATATCCATAGCTTCGAGCCTATAATTCAAAACATAACCCAGACTGAGCAGGGCATCCATTCGATTCTCAAAGCGGTCTTTGCCAGAAAGCAGCGCGCGAACAATTGCGTGAAAGGCCGTATTACTAGCTTGTTCGTCCCTGCCTGGAAAACTCCTCGCGTATCGACGATCATATCGATTGAACGATGGATTCCCAGCAACACATCCACTGCGACCAGCAGCACGTCTGCGGTAGTGCGTGGTACCGTCGCCTGGCCGCGGACTCGGAGGCGCGCCTGTCTGATATGGGATTCGAGGCGGCGGGTAAAGCTCCGCTGGCGCGGGCCCAGCTTCTGCTCGAGGTTCGCGGCGGCGGCGGACGTAGGATCGGCTGTGATTGCGGCCTTCACGCGGTCGTATGTAGTGCCCTCGATGTAGCTTTCGATCGCTCGGATCACAGGAGGCCAGGTACTTTCCGGACAGTCGTAGTCGACAGATACGTAGACTGTAATAGGGTTCTCCTCAAGTACTAAGCTAAAACCGAGACAGAAGAGGGAAATGGACGTTATACGCGATCTCATCTGGTTAAATGATTCAAGAATCCTATACACAGAGTCTAGGATGCTTGGCCAGTCCCTCTCTAGATCTGGTTTGTTAAGAATAGGCGCAATTCTCTTTCCTATGGTTAGCTGATGAGCTATCATCTCAACGGCCACTTTCACACCAAAGCTAAACCGGCTTCTCGACCTCTCCGACCTCCAGGAGACAAATACTCACGAATTGCATCATAACATGAACCAACTGGGTTATAGACGCGTTGAGCTGGTCTAATCGCATGTTGGTTTCGTATGCTGTCTGTTATGTCACTGGATCCTATTCGTTCCATGATCTTTCTAGCGACCGTTCCGTCTACCCCGTCGCCTTGCTTTACGGTGTAGTCTTCATGGCCGAGTTCGACATCGGATTCAAGCTGCTCGTCCCAGCAGCGGATGGCCGCTGTCAACCTGATCTTCTGTTATTTCTGAACTTGAACACCTGCGCTGATCGACGTATTATTTTTGGACAACAGCATATGTAGAGGAGTTGTGCTTCAGCAAGACAGTTGGTCGGGGACATTGATGAAGTTGGTAAGGCGTTGTCGTAATCGTCGTGACTCGTGTTGAGCTTCTACGGCGATTCACTGTTGGAAGGTGCTGTCACGATATTCTATACCATCGCTTTTATCTCTGCGGTGACCCCACGGGTTGCCTGTTGTCTGGTGTAACGCTGAATCCGCACTACCCGCCTCGAACTTGGCTCGAGGTGTCTCCCTCGATATCTTCGGGCCTAACCGGATCTTGGTCGAATCTGTATTCATCGATGCTGAAACCGACGAAGATAAACCTCTATGTTTGGCATAGTCAAGGAAGTTTTGACGTGCATTCCTTTGACTGAACTCAGCACAATTTACGTATATCCATATTTGGTCGTACTTGTGAAAGAGTTGCCCCCTTATGATAAGCTCCTGGTAATTGGGGTTTTGGACTTGGTGTTTTGGACTTGGTGTTTTGGAATTTTCGGTGGCGGTTATGATACGCTATTGAGGTCCATTGGAGGCAGTGCTTGGTATCCCAGAAGATTGCGGCGGGTGGGACGGCCGGGCGGTCAAAAATCTTTTGGAATTCGAGAACTAAAGGTGCGCCGGTGATGGTATTTTGCGCATCGATGTCTAATTCGGCCGTTTGTACAGGATAGGCGTTTGATGGATTGGGAGAGAGGTGACTGTAACCCCTCCGCTTAGCGGCTCTAGGGACAATTGAAATAGTGAAATAGGCCAAAAGAAGACATAGGTCCCAGTGTCCCTATCCTCGGCATAGCTGTACAGAGTTGAAGCAAGCTGAAAGTACTGGTGGCTGAGTGACATGAAATCGCAAATAAGTACCCAGAAAATGGGGCAAAGCTTTACCTAGCCACGGGCGGAGTTCTGATGCTTGCCCCGCTCGTTGTGTAGTACTGGTTGCTGAGCCATTTGATGAAACGGGCGTGATAAGTTCAGTATTGTTCAAAAAGAGAAATAGGTTTGATGCCTGTGACAGCGCGCGACCGTCTCTGTGCGCCTCCGCCGTCGCTCTGCAAGGACGGTCCATGGCACGGGGGAGCGTGGGCTAGGATTCTCGAGGCCGGTAGGAGACCATTCCTTGTCGGATCTCCTCCTTGTCGCCTTCATAATCGTCTCCCTTACGACTGGGTTAACGTACTTGTTCAGCTGGTCCCCTGGTCGCGGGGAGACGAATCGTACCAAAGGGACAGCCGGAATTCGGCTTAGGCCGAACATGCCCGGGACGTCCATTGACTTAATCGAATATCGATAACGCGGTGTACACCCCGAAGCTTGAGAAGGTGGAGGGCACGTCTCCCTTTGCTGTGTTAAGAAAAGGGCCTTTCTGCTGGGTGTCCCTGGTAACCATCACGAACTGCAGCGAGTTACCTAGCCCTGCGACCAGTGCCACCAGCTTCTGACTTCTAGACCTGGCGTCTTCATCCCGAGCTAGTACATGTACGCGGAGCAGCTTAGCTTCTTGCTTGATTTCTTTCCATGTGGCTACCACATCCGGGGCTTCTGCAAAAAAAAGCCAAGGTCGGTACAATCTGTAAGCCTGGCGTTTAACTCATCGCCGAGGTCAATACAGATGTTTGGATTTTGCAATCCTACTGATTCTCTTCCTCTGTCTCTTGATACATCTACTAAAGAAGGTAGTAGCCTTCATGGCTTTGTTCACGGGCAACTCGGCCGCCGTCGTCAAAATTAAGCTGGTTAAGCAAGTCGTACTCCTTCATCCCAAAGGAGTACGCTTGGCGTACCTCAGCTAGAGTCCAGCCCCCTATGACTCTATATGGGCGATGGTTAATGCGTATGTCGACCATGATAATGGCGTATCCAGGATCAATTCGCTATCGTCGAATTTCAACTGGTTCAAAAGATCAATACTCCTTTACTGCGAAGGAGTATGTCTGGCGTATTTCAGCCATAGGCCCATAGTATACAGTCTGTCCGACTTGATGCAGGCGTGGATGACTCGTCTCGTACGCGGCCGCGGGCCGAACATCTTGCGCCGTGGTCTTTGAACTTACAGTTCCCACATGCCCCCCCCC